GCCGCGGGCGGGGCCGGGCCTGGCCTCCCGCCGTCCTCCGCCCCCGCCTCAGCGGCGCGCAGTGCCCCCCCGACCCCCGGCGTTTGCAAACTTTGCAGAGTGCAGTGGTCGCGTTGCCGGGAGCCCCTTACACCCCCTCGGCTTCCAGGGGGACGCGGTGCCCCAGTACGCTCGGTGCTGAGCCGCTCGGAGCCACCTGCCCGCTCAGACCCCTGGCGGGATCCGAACCCGCCACCTGGTGTGCCGGGGGGCGTCGGAGCCGGGGCAGGGGCCTCATTTCAGAGTGAGACCGGCTGTCACCAGGGCGGGAAGTTACTTCTCCGAGCCCGGGATCTTCCATCCTTGAAACAAGCCCAGGTTCTGTGCCCGATCCCGGGGCCAGGGTGTATTTTGGGAGTCACAGTTTTTCTGAGTTGAGGCTTTGGTCTGAGGGTTTTTGGGCTGTGATGCTTGATCAGACTCTTGAAGGCGAGAAGAGTGTACAGGACTATCTGGGATAAAGACAGACAAGAAATAGCGTTAGATCAGGTCAAACCAGGAACAAGAAAGTTTTGGTTTTCGAGCTTTTTGACTTTCAAGATAGTGGATAAGGTGGCGTGGACATGCAGTGGTCTGAGCGTATAGGGTCCCAGCAAGGATGGGATGAAGTCATGGAGGTAAAGGGCCAGCCCTAAGGGGCCCGTAAATGCAACTCTTCTGGCAGAATGGAACACGCTGGGCTCTGGGGACGCAGAAGTTAGGGCTCACACCAACCAGGCTCATAGAGCGGCCCTCATCTCGTGGGCAGGGAAGGCCATCACTGGATATGGGCTGTAGGGTAGGCTGTGTAGAGGTGGGAGACTGTTCTTTCTGAGCAGTTACCTTCTCAGGGTTTGTGCCAAGAGGGTGTAGTACGACCTCGCCAGCTACTTCCTGCCTTGTGTTGGGTGGCTGGGCCCAGAGGGTTCTTAGAGTTCCTTCTCCTTCTTTAGGGGGGATTTAGGAAAACTGAGGCCTCAAGGGGGTGGTGGTTGGCCTGTGGGACAGAGGCAGAAGCCAAGTCTCCTGGCCCTGAGTCTGTGTATGTGTGTGCTGGGCTCTGGGTGTGGGTGGTCTCCCTGGGCAGCAAAGTGGTCTTTGGGCAGCACGCCTGATGGGCAGGCAGTGGGGAGGTGGGTGTTGATCAGACTTGCCTCCAGCATCCAGGTGCCAGTGCTCCCGCACCTGTTGTACAGTAGGGTGGTGTCTGTTAATGACCTGGCTGGTGTCTTAAGGCGGACTCAAGTCTGTGAGGCTCCTTGTACCTGGCTGGTGCTAGGCTCCAAGAGGCTTTAGTGGGCAGAGCAGAGGGGTGGTCCTGAGGGCACATTGGTCTGGTCAGAGATGCTGGTCAGTTAAGGGCCCAACAGGGCCTGAGTATGGCACCTGCTGAGTCCCAGGGCTGCATCAGCCACGGCCAGCCTCTCCTGGTGACCTCTGGAGCCTCTTGGTCTGTGCGACCTCGAGAAGGTCACCGAACGTCTCAGAGCCTCGGTTTCCCCACCTCAAGATGGGCATTAATGGTTGACCTTCCGGAGCCACAAGTTCTGGCAAGGCCCTGGTGTAGTGGCTTCTGCCAGTGAGTTGAACCTTGTGGAATTGCTGATATTTAACTGTTTTTAACCAATAAAAATGGCATTTTGTAGCCTAATAGTAAGCCTAGGCCTGTGTTGGCTGCTGGATTGTTGGCAACAGGAAAATAACCACATGTGGCACAAGAGAAGTCGAGAGTGCTTCGTTCTGTTCTCACGGAAACCAGAGTAATCTTCTAGAAACCATCTTTCTCTCCTTAAAACCTTCATGACTTTTTATCGTCCTGAGGTTAAAATACAACTCTTCACCAAGACCCCCAGCCCTATGGTGCAGCTCCCCTGGGCTTCTTTTTGTTTTCTTGGCCCTGTAGGTCCTTGGGGGGAGGGGGGAAGGCCCCACCTAGAGATGACCACAGAGGCCTTCGCACCTCCCTCCCCCTGCTGAGTAGGTTCCCTCCCCATTTCTTCTGTACTGTACGTGGACACTTGTTTCGTGTTTGTGTTCTCGGATAGACCGGTGTCCCCATGTGGGTGGAGACAGGCGGGACCTGTTTGTCAGGGTGACGGCCAGGCACCCAGTACCTGCTGCCTCTCCTGATGAGGGACCAAGCACCGTGGCTGGGTGTGGGTGGTAGGAAGTTCAAGGATAACTCTTGGGAGGAGGTCGCTCCAGTTACATCTATTGCTGCATAATGAATCCCTCAAAACTCAAGTGGCTTAAAACACCCGCAGTCATTGTGTTCTGTGGTTGTGAGGGTGGACGGGGCTC